GTATAGGTCTTCTGGACGGGTTCTTCTCTAATGAAACGTTTCGTCTCTCCTCCAAGAGACTTTTAAGTCACATGGAGGCAGGGCTTAAAAGCCTGAATTTAGCCTGAAACTCTCAGACTGAAGAAGTCTCTTGGAGGAGAGACGAAACGTTTCATTAGAGAAGAACCCGTCCAGAAGACCTATACTATTTTTTCTTTTTTTTTTCTTAAAGAGACAGAGGTCTATTTCAAGGTGTTTGGATAGGCTATGGTGCAAAGTCTTTATTTTTGATACAAACACGTACATTTTCATAACTACTGAAGTTAACAGTAAAATGAATGTGGTATAAAACTGAACGATGTGCCTGAAAAAAGCATACACCCCCCCCCCCAATACTTTTTACTCAGTAAAACCAGTTGACATAACTTAAGTAAATTCACTTAAAACATAAACATTTTTAGAGTGATATGCTGCCATTTTTAATGCATTTTCAGTCATTTTGGCTGTTTACACAATTAAATACACAAATTTGATAATTTAATTTGAGGGTAAAGCAATGTTTGTTGTTGGTTTAATTCCTTGCTTTTTAAATTACACCTTGCACAACACGCCGTCACGGTCAGGTTCCAGGACTGAATTAAAAATGGGTGCAAAGTGCAGCAAAATAAATAAATAAATAAATAAATAAATAAAAACCATTTAAAAGCTGCAGAAATTGTGAAGGACTACTGACCAAAACCAATTTAAAAATCACAAACTACTCTGCCTACTTGAAAGGAAGGTTTAATAAAATTACGTTTGCAACTTTTGCACAGCATCCTGTACATTCTGTACGATTCTGCTTTAAGCCTTTATTTAAAAGAAGAAACAAAAGTTTATATATTGCTTTTTAAATGTATAACGCAGCAGAGTTTTGTTTTAAGTCCATTTTAAGACAACTYAGTGCTACATTCATTAGATCTTTAGCTTTGATCACAGCTTGACAATCTCTGACTGATCCCTGGTCTTTAGTTTTGCAGGTAGTTTGATGCAATTTCACCTCTTCAGTTTGAAGACATTGCCAATAGCATTTCACATTGATCGGCTGCTGCATGGTTCGAACACTTCAGACAGTGAATTTGAAGTCAGATGGTTCTGAAGGCCGTGATAGGACTGAGAAAAAGATCCATCAGTCTATTCAACTGGTTTTTGCTCACCCAGCACGTGTGTCTGGAGTCATTTTCTTTCTACAGGACAGAGATGGGAGCTGCATCAGACAGGTTTTTCAGAGTTTGGTGGGGGGGGGGGATCTATGGTTCAAGATGACTGTTTCAGTTTAAAACTACCATTTCTTCATTGTTTCTTAAATCAGTTCTTAAAAGTCCAACTCTGTCAAACAAGCAGCACTTCTTGGAGCTCATACAGCACATTATAGGAACTTATAGTCTTGAAGGAAGATTTCAAAGAACCGAAGAAGTATTTCTTTAAATGCAGTTTGCACCAAACCAAATGAGATATTTATATTTCTTTTGTCAATTTTCCAGGTAACTGAGTACCTTTTACAAGAGAAAATCACCAATAAAATCATTTTTTCACTAAGTAAATATAGGGAAAACCCTTTGATTTGTAGATGAAAAATGAAATGTTTGTCTTGATTCCAGAAGTTTTTTTTTTTTTTGGTACTTTGAGTTAATCTCCATACTTTTTCTTTGTGTCTCAAATGTTTACTTAGCTTCCTTCCTGTTCCTTGGTTGTTTTAGTGACTCATTACAGCTGTTCCTCATTTGTTAATGAGCCAGCTGCACTCACTTTGTAATCACTCAGTAAATACTTGCTCATCTTCAGTCATTGTCAGATCCTGCTGCGGTCCTTTGCAGTTTTCTGTTGCTTCAGTTCAATTCTTTTTATTTATTGTTTTGTTTAATTCATTGCCACCTGCTCCACATAAAATTTGGTTTGAGAGTTTCTTTTTGCCACGTCAGCTCATAAGGTTCTTGTTTTTTGTTTTGGGTCCTCACACCACAAACATCTCAACAGTTTGTGGAGTTCATGTGCTGGATCTCGAGGTGCAGTTGTGGTAAGAAGGGTGTCAGATTCTGGACCTGAGCATCTAATCTTAGCTTTTTGAGGACGATGTGATTACACTGAAACCCAGACCTCCAGCATCATTGGAGTGGGGTCTGTAGAAAAGCTGGCCTCAGGATTGGAGCAGAGCTGCTGCTGCTCCGCATTGATCCAAGTCAACTGAGGTGATTCAGATCGAGTGTGACCTCCAAGACTTCTTCCTTTGGAGGTTTTTCTGAGCTTGTCGTGGTGTCCTCTACAACCCAGCCATGAATAGGTGGGGAAAAAATAGATAAATGGCTAAAAGTTTTGTTTCCCTTTTAATCAAGATAATTACAGCGGGTAAAATAAGTATTGAACACGTCACCATTTTTCTCAGTAAATTATTACTAGAAGTGCTAATGACATGAAATTTTCACCAGATGTTGGTAACAACCCAAGTGATCCATACATACAAAGAAATCAAACCATAAATGTCCAGAAATGAAGTTATTTGTAATAATGTGGAATGGCACAGGGAAAACGTATTGAACACACTTACTGAAATTTATCTAATACTTTGTACAAAAGCCTTTGTTGGCAATGACAGCTTCAAGACGCCTCCTGTATGGAGAAACTAGTGGCATGCATTGCTCAGGTGTGATTTTGGCCCATTCTTCCACAAACAGTCTTCAAATCTTGAAGGTTTCGTGGACCTCTTCTATGAACTCTGATCTTTAGTTCTTTCCATAGATTTTCTGTTGGATTCAGGTCAGGTGATTGGCTGGGCCATTCCAGCAGCTTTAGTTTCTTTCTCTGAAACCAACTGAGAGTTTCCTTGGCTTTGTGTTTGGGCTCATTGTCTTGCTGAAATGTCCAGCCACGTTTCATCTTCATCATCCTGGTAAATGGAAGCAGATTTTTATCAAGAATGTCTCTGTACATTTTTCCACTCATCCTTCCTTCAATTATTTGAAGTTTTCCAGTACCATATGCTGAAAAACAGCCCCACACCATGATGTTCCCACCTCCAAACTTCACTGTTGGTATGGTGTTTTTGGGCTGATGTGCAGTGCCATTTGACCTCCAAACATGATGTGTATTCTGGCATCCAAACAGTTCAATGTTGGTCTCATCTGACCAGACTATATTCTCCCAGTATTACACAGGATTGTTTAAATGTTGTGCAGCAAACTTTAAAGGAGCTTCAACATGCTGTTTCTTCAGCAGTGGAGTCTTGCGTGGTGAGCGTGCATACAGGCCATGGTGGTTCAGTGCATTACTTATTGTTTTCTTTGAAACAATCGTACCTGCTAATTCCAGGTCTTTCTGAAGCTCTCCACAAGTGGTCCTTGGCTCTTGGACAACTCTTCTGATAATTATTTTCACTCCTCTGTCAGAAATCTTGTGAGGAGCACCTGGTCATGGTCGGTTTATGGTGAAATAATGTTCTTTCCACTTCTGAATTATGGCCCCAACAGTGCTCACTGGAACCTTCAGAAGTTTAGACATTCTTCTGTAACCGATGCCATCATTATGCTTTGCAACAATAAGGTTGTGAAGGTCTTGAGAGAGCTCTTTACTTTTACCCATCATCAGATGGTTCTTGTGTGATACCTGGCCATCATTTGGGAGTGAACCAGCTGATATTAATTTGCACTGACAAGGGGCAGGCTTGCTTTCTAATTACTGAGAGAGTTCAGCTGGTGTCTTGGCTTTCCATGCCTTTTTACACCTCCCTTTCTTCATGTGTTCAATACTTTTTCCCTGTGCCATTCCACATTATTACAAATAACTTCATTTCTGGACATTTATGGTTTGATTTCTTTGTATGTATGGATCACTTGGGTTGTTACCAACATCTGGTGAAAATTTCATGTCATTAGCACCTCTAATGATATATTTACCGAGAAAAATGGTGACGTGTTCAATACTTATTTTACCCGCTGTATATAAAAGCCAAATATCACAGCTTTTATCATAAAAAAACAAAATTCCAAAAGAATTTCTCTATGTATTTTTTTGACAAACAAAAACCCAGTAATGTAAAATGACTTATCTGCTTTAATATATTTTACAAACTGTTTACATGTCAGCATTTTAGTTTGAAAGGAAATATGCAGAACAAAAATAATCCTTTTTGCTCAGAAACATATTTGTGAACAGTACTAGAGCTTATTTGTGTATTTAATCATCTCTGTTTGCATAGTGGTGAGTTCCGTCCAAAATATGAGTCAGAGATGCTTTAATCCTGAGTGCTGTTTATGTGAAAAACACAATAATGCTCAGAAACAACCGCATTAATAATGTGAAATGATTGGGAATCTGCATGCAGCACTCTTAGTCTCCAAAACAATATAATAAATCTTTTAACCGTTTGGCTAAAATATGCATTTTTACAGCATGATGTAAAAAAACCCATTTATGTGCTTAAAGAAAGAAATGACAAAATATGAAAATGAGGCAAATAAACAGCTGATTTTGACAAATATGCCAAATTACACCCAGTATCCTTATTTTTTTTACTTCATATGCAATTTAACCTAACAAAAGCAAATGGTCTTCATAAAAACAAAGCTTATTTCAGTGAAAGGAAGTATTTTTATTGAACTAATTTGTCACCAAGTCACTGTCTAGTCTATGACATTAAAATACATATATATGTATACAGTACAAGAGTTAAAAATATAATATTTACTAAAGGAAACTTTATTTACATTGAAGGCAGATAGTCTGCACATATATAAAACATCTTTAATCAGATTAACATATGGATGGAGGGAAAACGTTGAACCTGGAGACTTCTSCAGCACCTTCCTGAGAGCAATGCATTATGGGTCCCCGTCTGCGGGTGGAGGCTGGCACAGCTTGTACAACCTGATCAGAGAAACACATATACAACGTGACATTTAATTATATTCAACATGCAGCAGCTTCAGGCAGTACGCAGAAACCTCCAGCAACGATCGACTGGTTCAGGGCTGAGAGGCTGCAGGAAGGAGGTGTTAGCAGATTAATGGACGTCCTGCTGCCACAAATACAAACATTATTTTTCCTGCACATTTATCTCAAATTCACACCATCTGCTTGCATCTTTTTGTGTTTATAAAACGGAATTAATCAACATGTAAAATTAGAAACCTCATCTTTTCCTGATTCAGGAGATCCCTTGAYATTTTGCAGCAGCAAGCGTGGCAGAAAAATCCAGAGTCATTTTTACTCTCTGACCACATCTGAGCACTAATCATCCTGCTGTTTAACTGCAGTTGTCAGTTTCACTAAAAGGTTCAAAAGTGCTGGTTGTCTCAGAAAACCTGCAGTACGTGTCGGAGCTAAACGGTGGAGGCGGTTCTCGTCCTCCACCTACAGCTGCTGAGGGTAAAAATCTGATTTCCAACATGGAGGAAAGGAGGTTTCGGCTTCAGTCTTGCTAGAAAAATCGACAGATGTGCTTTATAATATGCACTGGTGTAACAGGTTTGTAAAACAATATTTTTGTGTAAATATGGTGTAAAAAAGTTTCAATGTTGGAAGAAAATTACTTAATTTTACCATCACACACCTACAACTTAACAACTCCAGTAATATTTGATCAGTTCTGCACATCCTTTTGGGGGGAAAAAACCAATATTTTACTCGACTGAACAGATGTTTCAGGTCCTGAGTGGTAAGGAGGCAAGGGAAATAGAAGAAAGTACAAACGTTCAAATTATACTTTGTCTAAAAAAAAAAGTTCTTCAGTCCACAAGCTGTTCTAAAAACTAAAATAACAAACAGATATTTTTCTTGAAAAAACTCTTATTAAAAAGCCCAAAGTAGCAATAATGAAGGAATAATTTATGTGCATTTCCTTTCTAAGCGTATTAGAAAACAATATAGTGACCCTAATCCYAACTCTTATTCCTTATTAAAATTTAACCCTAAAGTCAAAATTAACAGCAGCCCTACTTTTACTAAAACCAGTCTCCTGTAATTCAGACTGTTGTTACAGAGCTCAAAACTAAGACGTGTTTTACCTCGGGACTGACGACGGGGTTCGATTTCTCACTCCCAAGTTCTTGGCAGAATTCTGAACTCTTGCTCCCTAAAAAAAAAACAAAGCGTTTATAACGTCGTGATCAAAACACAAGACAAAAAGAACTCTGAACTCTCTGTGAACTGAAAATACATTTGCTTGTAGCGTTATAACGAAAAGAACACAGAGAGATCGTAATGATTTGGCTTTTATTAGAATAAAACCTTTTTTGTATCATTTTCATAATAACAAGCGAATGATTGTCTCAGTTTGATCAGGAGGACTTGGAAAGTTTTTGTTCTGAACCAAACTCAACTGTTCTATATATGGTCATAATTTCTTACATATAGGAGGCACAAATCAGAAAGACCATTAGATCAATACAGCAGCTGTGATTAGACGCCACCTTGGTGATGTTTTTCGTTTAATAACAGGAGTTTCTCTGGGTGATATTAAATCCCACCAGGCTCAAAATGGCAACRAGGAAAACAAATGCATTTAAATTACATTACATCTAATAAATATTGCAGAATGTGAACCCTGGATTGTAAACCACAGCTACATKAAGTGAGGATCTTCTAGAACAAAGCAAAACAGAAAGTGCTGGAATCTCTTTGTGACAAAACAAAAACAAGTTGTAAGGATTTTAATGATAAATAGAACTCCTGTGTAGYAGAGTTATAACATGCAGAGTCAGGAATATGTCTCTTTTTATAATGTTTTATTTTGCTGCCTGAGTCTGCAGATACTCCTGCACTGCAGACAGATGAACAYCTGCGCTCACAGCTACAACCTCGTTCTACGTCTGTGCTGCACACGTAAGCAAAAACACATAATTAAATCTTTTTTTTTTTTAAAAGGTCGTCAAGCCTCTCCTCTTTTAGCACAGATGCATGCAGGCGAGAGTGCATTAGCTGACCCCTCAGTTCTGGCTCTGCTGTCTGCCATCTTACTGTCGGCTCAGACGTATGTCCAGACAACAGGATAGCATCAGCAATTATTCAATTCCTATCAGAGCCATCCATTCTCATGCCTCCAGACAGAGATGCCCCCTAATGTCACTAAAGGACACAATGGTGGTTTAAAAAAAATCAGTTAAGAGACTACATAAAACTCTTTTTTTGTCGTGACGTCAACAAGAATATTCAGTTTGCATGCTAAGATCTTTAAAGGGATCCCTGATTAGTTGTAACATTAGGCTTTATTTGATAAACATTTATTTTAACTGTAAAATAAAGGCTGTAAAAATGCTGCAGGCTGTTTAGTTTTTGTAATTTTTAAAAATATATTTTAACAAAGACAGATCAATTTTATTTACACACAAAGCATTCTGGGTAAATGATGACGTGGATCGATCCTCTGTGTGAGTGAGCTATATCCACCCTGAAGGTAAATCTTGGACAATATCTGATGATTTTCTCTTTTAAATGAAACCAGAGAGCGTTGACAGAGAGGAGAAGGTAGAAATGACTCAGTCTGTAACTGAAAATATRGATGGAGGACAACAGAGCTGCTTCATGGAAGAAGAACCTCAGCTTAGCCTGTTAGCCTTTGCGCTAGCGCCAACGCTATATTGCCTTATATGTATTAGCTCAGCGCTAGTGCGACAAACTAACAAGCTAAGCTGAGGTCCTCCACTCTGTAGCGCTGAGCTAATACATACAGTATATATGGTGATAGTGTCGGGGCTGATGCAAAAGCTAACAGGCTAAGCTGAGGTTCTTCTTCCATGAAGCAGCTCTGTTGTCCTCCATCCATATTTTCAGGCTGAGTCATTTCTACCTTCTCCTCTCTGTCAACGCTCTCTGGTTTCATTTAAAAGAGTCGAACATCAGATATTGTCCAAGATTAACCTTC